CTGAGTCTTCCACCTCTGTGAAAACTGCAGCACAACACTGAAAGAAGGCAGGAGTGGAGAGATGTAAGAGCTCCATGAGGTTCTCAAGACCAAGCCATGGAAGCCCAGGCCAGCTACCCAGAAGCTGACACTCTCCCATGGAAGACAGGTCCTAATAACATGGCGCAAGGACGATCACACCATAGAGATAAGCACCAGCTGCTCTGGGAAGAAATGGGCCACCTAAATCCATTCGGGGGGAAGGATATGATCACAGGAGATCCCTTAGAGCACAAATTCCAAGGGCAAGCTATAAAAAGGGATAGCATGTAACCGGGCTTTCAATCCCAGCCCAGCCATAAAGGGACCCTCTCCCTCTGTGGGCCAGTGTGGTTCAGGAAAGAACAAAGCTTGTACCTTCACTGGGACATTTTGCAATGTCCTGGGTAACTCACTTTGGTTGTTGGAGTCTCGATTTCTACAACTGAAAAACTGGGCTAGTAACCTCTACATTTCTGGGCGGTTACAGTATTCACATTACAGACATGACCCGGCACAGAGAAAAACCTCAAATATATCCCTAGGCTGACTGAGTTAAACCATCTAGTCACCTGGCACTTCAAAAGGACAGCTGAGGGATAGTTGAAGACTTTCCTTAAGAAAGAAGAGGGCATCTCCACACTTGATACTCACTCTCAGATTAACACATGTGAGCACACTCCTTTCTCAGGAGCAGAGTCTCCCTTGTTCTTCCCTCACCACCTCCATGACTCAGCCCAGGACCTGGCATGGCAGCTTCTCCAGCAACATGTCACTAATGACCAGATACCAAAACACTATCACATGCCAACCACTGGATCACTTCAAATCATAGCATGCTCCACAAAACTCAGAAACAGCATCCCCTCCATTTTCTTACCAAAAAAATGATTAAAAACTCTGAAAACCCTAAGAAAAACAATTGAAAACTAAAAAAACCACAGCCTCTTTTGGATGAAACAGAGAATCACACACTACATCTAAATATAATTCTGCAATTTCCATTCTCCTTCGTCTCTCTTACTCCACACATCTGACAATAGTCAAGCAAATCACAAACACTTTCCAAAAGGGGTCACCAAAAAGGAAACATTAGCCATCAGGTTTTGTTGAACAAAGAGACACGGCACATCAGGCTAGTAATGATCCTCCCCTTATACATTTTTGCCCCTCACACATATCCTGAATAATGCTAAGAGTACTGATTTTAGAGAAACTGATGTAAGATGAAAAATTATTATTTTGAAATACCAACAGACAACTTTATCAATCTGGACACAAACAGACCAGCTTAATCTTGAATCCTCTGCTACACTTCCCCTGTAACCAACCACTAAATATAACTTGGCAGTGAATCAGCCACCAATCCATATATTATATCAGATAATTAAAAATACAGGGTTATGTAATCTTATTTAATGGTTACTTGGCTTGGATTGAAAACCATCCAAAGCAGTACCAGAGAGCTGGATTAAATTATAATGCATAAGACATTTCTAAAGATGTTTTTTTGTAAGAGTCAGCACATCCCCTCCTAGCAAATACAATACAAAACATGGGACGCTACTTTCATCTCCAATTAACCTCCTTGGCAAGAACCGGCAATGTCAATTCTCTATAGGCATGGAAGTGGGGGAAGGGGGTGGTACCAAAGCCTATCTTTTTTGATTCAGTTTTAACATCAAGTAAACATTAACCATTACATTTGGTAGAAAAATGAAAGTACTCAGTGTTTAGGGGAGAGGGGGAAGGGAGCCAGTTAGCCTGAGAAAATAAAAAGAAAGTCAGCAACTAATGCCATCATGAAACACAAGGCTGTAAAATGTGTAAGAGCTGGACTATACTAGCTTGGGAGCACACATCCTGATGTCATCCCAGCTCAAGTTCTTTCTTAAAGATTATTAGAAAAAAAAATAATTCAGCTAGGAGGTTGATCAATGTTTACAACTACTGATTTTTTTTAAAAATGGCAACATCTCATTTATAAACTGTTTCATTATCATAATGCGTTGATTACAAAAATAATAAACGGGTCACAGGAGGGCTTTAATGCAAAAGTGTCTCTTGGCCGGAGCATTAAAATCCTGTAGGATAAATTTGCTAGCAACGTTTGTTTCTTTAAAAAGACCACTAGATAAGTACGGAATGAAACTTTTTTAAAAAATCAAGATAAGTCAACCAGAAGCAAGCATATTAATGATATTGATTTCTGCAGGGTTTTAAATAAGTATGTGTGAAGTAGTTTATTCTGTCTTTGCAGGAAGACCTAAGTAGCAAGAACAATGGCTTTAGGAGACAGAAGGCCTGAGTTCAAATTATATCTCCGTTGCCCACAAGCTTGCATAACTGGGTTCCTCAGATGCCTCCCCAGAAAAATGGAGACACCGGTGTCTACCTCACCAGGGTGCAAGCATGAGACAGGAACTAGACATCATGTACCCTGAAGAGACTTGGAAACTTGAACACACTCCATGCAAACATGAGGTATCGCATTCACTGATGACCATCGTCACTGCACAAGTTACTGCCGGAACACTGACACCAGTATAGACATTCAGAATAAACTCTGAAAAAAATAGTTTCTTTTCAAGGCAAAGAGTCAAAAATACTGTTAAATGAGAATAAAAATACTTTTGTGTAGCCAATAACAAGACGCTTATCAGATTCAAAATCAAAGTTTTCTAATAACCATTCAGATTCAGATTTAAGATACTATTTAGAAATGCACTTGGAGTTACATAATTAAGCATGATTAATATTTTAAATGATAGGGCTTTGCTTTCTGGATATCAGCTTATGATTTAAGGGGAAAACATGCTTGTCTGAAGTAATCTAAATTAACAGTAACAAGAGCATCTCAGTATCACCTTTTCCATCTTTCACATAACTGTTCAATGTGAAAAAAATGTACTTCTTACCCAAATTACATTCTTTACGGAAAAAGTAAGGTAATCAGATTCAGCATCTAAAAATATACTAAATGGCAACATTGTTCAATATCTGTTTCAAGTAACTAGAGGCCATTAACACTAGTAGAAACAGAAACTGAAATAATTTTGAATGCATTAGCAACACAGTACTATAACAACATGGCACAGAGAAAAAAAAAATTCTAACTTTCAAAATAACTCATTACACTTCTGTTGAGCTGTTTCCTTAACTGAGTGAAACATAACTTTGTCAACTTCTTTATTAAAAAAAAAAAAAAAAGGCACTGGATTCCACAATCTAGAATCTTTCTAATGCCATTGATCTCACACAACATACAAAGAAATTTCTTTCACAGAAATGACAGCCCAGCAGGCAACAAAAGATCTATGTAAATCATAAAGAGCAAGGAGTAGAAACCTAAGAGCAGAACGTTCAGAAGAGCATGGGAATAAACTGAAAATTCTTTCTCTCTAATTTAAGAATGCAAGCCCATTACTTTTCCACAAGCCCACCTTATTAAAGAAATAAAAATAAGTCTGCAAATAAAATAAAATGGGAAAGCTCTGAAAACCTATTTCTATTCAACAATTCAAACGGCATGCATGCTTAAATTCTTGGAGACACTGAGTCTCTCCACTACCACCATCAGTCGACAATACACCCTACTCCGAAGAACTGGTTGAAATAGGCAAATGCTGGAGGTTGCTGTTTTGAAATATAGACATCTATATACAAATAGAATATGTCTGCCTCATCCTTCACTTCCAACAATAAAAGAACCAGGGTCAGCATTAAGATCAGCAGACCCGATTTAACTCGGGGACCACAAACTGCCACTTCACGGAGTGATTCATGCAAAGGGTAACAGATCTAACCAGATACTATTTCTGCCATCACTCAGAGAAAAAAAGAACACCAGTGGCCCCCAAACCCATCTTTATCTGAAACATGGATTAAGAGATACAGAAGGAATTGAGGACTGTGCCTGGGAAGGCAGGCTTGTTTTACCTTCCATCCCAGATTACTCAAGAAGCTGGAGGAAGAACAAACCAGGAAATACTGTCCTAGGTAGGCACGTCTCCATATGTCCCTGTATCCCGGTGCCCTGTACTTCCCAGGGCTGTTCACACCCTGAACTGGCTGAGCAGTGCTGAAAGGCATAGGCAGCAAAAGACTCCTTGCCCAGTCTTCCCAACCCCTAGCCAGCCCCCAGTGAGGGTGACCCACCCAGAGCTTCCCAAAGAGAAGACAGGCAAGCCAAGAAGGGCGCAATTGCGTGGGCCTCTTCTCCCCTACCAACCCCTCCAAGGCCAGCTTGCAATCCTTGGCTGGAGCTGCCCCCACCCCCTCCCAGGGAGGCGGACCACGCTGCCAGGGTGGCTGTAGCCTCGGCATGGGAGAAAAAGACGGATAGGAGAGGAACTGGGCTCTGCTACTAGGACCGCCACGTCCCTCTCCTCTGAAATGCACAGGGTCTGACCCCAAACCTCCCCCAAGGTCCTCAAACTTCACTAACAATCCAAGCACCTGTTCCCTTCACCTCGTGTGCATTTAGGCCCCTCAAATCCTTCCATTTTGCTCCAGCTCTTTCTTCGGTTCCCGGGACAAACCAAGCATACGAGGATCCCCGAGTCCCTCACAAACTACCCTCCAATGAGATCATTCAACCCCCACCCCGCCACAGCCCCCAGATGTTCAACGTCCTCTACCCATAAGTTTCCCTCGGGTATCTTCGAGTCCCCAAAGATCTTCAACTCTCATCCGAACGCCCCAACCTTCTGCCCCCGCCAAGCCTCCCAAAGGCACAAGTCCCTTTCCCCCCAGGTATCCCGCGTTCTCCCAGGTCCCCACCCAAATGCCTCCAGATTACTACCTGGGTCCGCGCGCGCCTCCCCAGGTCTATTTCTAGCCAACCCCACAGGTTCGCCTACCCAGAGCCCGGCATTTCTACCCGCTCCCGACCCTCCCCAGTCTCCGAGCCCCCGGCCACCACTCCCCCGGCCCCAACGGCCGAGGGCGACAGTTAACGGCCGGCCAGCGTGCGCCCTCACCTTGGTTCACCAGCCGCAGAGCGTGCGTGAAGGAGGGGTCCAGGGAGTCCTTCTCCGCCATCAGCTCCGGCAGGTACTTCTCCTCCATGCTCGCTGGCCGCCGGGCCCGGGACGCCGACGCGCGGCAGGCGAGCAGCGGCGGCCCCGCAACCCCCGACCCCGCCCGCGCCCCAGCGGCGCGCAACCCGGGCCAGGCGCCGCGGCCGGGGCGCGGCGGAGCCAAGCCCGGAGGTCGGCCCGGCGGAGGCGGCACGGGGCGAGTGTCGGCCGCGCGGCTCCGGTCCCCGGGGGTGGCCGCCGACTGCCCCGGGCTGGCGGCCGCTGTTCCGGGACGCGGCCCCCGCAGCCCCGCAGCTGGTCGAGCAGGAGCGGACGCGGGCCGGCGCACTCAGGCGGACCCTCGGGCCGGGCCGGCGGCGAGCTCGGCGAGCCTGAGGCAGTCCCGGGCGAGCCCCGCCAGCCGGCGCCCAGCTCAGCCGCGACCCGCACGCCGCGCGCAGCCCCGCGCTCTCCGAGCCGCCGCGCGGAGCTCCCGGCCCGCCGCCCCGCCCGCCGCGCCTGCGCCTGCGCACCGCTCCCGCGCCCCCCCTTCGCCGCTCCCGCGCCCCCCAGCCCCGCCCCCGCCGCCCGCCCCGCCCCACCCCGCCTCGCCCGCCGCCTCGAGGGGCGGCCCCCAGCCTCGCCGCGGTCCTCGGGGAAGGGCGTCCCGGCGCCTCCGGCCCTCGGGGCGCTCTGCTCCAGCTCTGGGGGCGCGGGGGAGTCCCGCTGTAGGGTCACGGCGCTGGCAGACGCAGAGGCCGGGAAACTGAGGCCCGGAGAGGTCGGGCGGCTCGCCCAAGGTCGCCGGGCGAGCGTTCCCCGGAGGGGAGACAGAGGCCTGGCCGGGAGAGCGGTCAGGGCGGCGAGTCCGGGCTCGCCCGGCGGGCTCTGGGGAGAGGCAACCGGGCGAGCCGCCCTGCTCTTTATAAGGCTCTCAGGACTTCCCTAACTTATTTGGCCTTGCTGTCCCCTCTTTGCAAGGAAATAAGGCGGGCGCGCTGTCCTTCGTTGGCGCCTGGGCTCTGGGTGCCTAAAGAGGGACCCCAGGTACCGAGATCCATTACATAAAAGCGCGTGCCCTTCAGGGCGTCTTTGTCATCCCGACTTGCCACCGGCGTGTCTTTCTCTTCTCCCATAAAGAGCTGTGACTGGAGGAGGAAGAGGGAGCCTTGCAGGAGCCTGTCCCCTCATGGGGAGAGTCCTCTGGACATACGTGGATGCTGATGTCTTAGGTCCCTTTCTGCCCCCTTCCCCAACAAGCCCTCCCTCAGGACGTTTTCAGGTGTCCTCGGCATGTGGAGTAAAATGTCCCTGAGCAAGCCAAAGACTCCTGAGTCTGTCCTGCCTTTCCCCTGCCAAACCCCATCCCCAAGTCCTGGCCTCAATGTCACCTTCCCTGGACAGCTTTCCAAGACTTCCTCTGCAAAGCAGTCAAGGCACCATCCCCCCCTCCCCTACCTCAACCTGCGCTGGTCAGCCCTGTAATTCTGTTTCCAGGAGACCCTGAGCATCTCAGGGGCAGAGCTAGAATTTTGTTTTGCAGGGAGGGTCCCCAGCATCTGGTGCCTTTGGGACAGGTGTGGGGGCACCAGAAATGTTTGTTGAAGGAACAGAGCAGTGGAATGCCAATCCTGTGGCCAGCTGCCTGGGGCAGATCTTCCTCCCAGGCTCATGAAGGCCTCCACAGCCAGAGATGCCGAGAGTGGAAATCAAGGATCACTAAGCTGCTCTGAGTCTCATCCTCAAGCACTCGTGCACAAACACCCCATCCCCTTTTCCACCCCTAGACTGCACAGTGCCTCCCAGCAAAAAAGTGTCCTTTCAGAGTTCCCAGAAGGAATGTTCATGTCTCTCTTCGTTCTGAACTCTCAAGAAGCAGTCAAGGGTAGGTTAATTTTGTAGCCTCTGCGACCCCCACAGCCTGGATTTGCCATTATGACTCTCCTGCTCATGTGACCTACCTGTGTGCCTCAGTCTCCTCCTCTGTAAAGGAGAGATGAGAATCCAGATACAGATACAAATACAAATGTGGACCACATCTCCAAAACCAAGGTTAAGCCAGCAGCCCTCGGGGGCACTGGGAAGGATTCGTGGGGCTATGTTTTCTCTTAGAGCATTGGAAAGGAATGCACGTACCTCTGGCTTCTGTTCCTGCATCACAGGACCTACATGCTAGGGTGTGTGTCCCTGATGGCCACACTTAAAGGGTGGAAGGGAGAAGGGGTGTTCTGGGATATCGGTGAGCCCCAGGGGAGGAGAATGGGGACCAGATGCTGGACGCTCAGCAGCCCCCTCATCACTTGGTCTTACAGCCTTCTTTCCATTCAGACTCTCTGCCCAGGTAACTGCCCACACTTTGAGTAATTGCTGTTTTCATTAAGCACTTACTAAGGGCCAGGCTCTTTCATTCACTATTTTCAGTTTTCCCAATGACCTGTAGGGAAGATATTATTTGTCACCACTTATAAATGAGGAAACTGAGGTTCAGAGCAGTTCCATACTTTTGCTTAAGTCCCATGGCTGTCAGTCAGGGATCCTAGACTGATAGACCCTAAGGCCTTCTCCCCCGCTTCCCTGTTCTTCCCTCCCAGGTGTCAGTTCCTGACAGCTGTGACCCGCTCCAGCCCTCCTCCACTGGCAAGGCTGGCAGACACGTCCCCCTGGCAGCTGGGGAGGAGGGCTGTACACCAGGAAGCTGACAGCAAAGGCACTGGATCTTCCGCTCTGGACCCTCCTCCTCTCTGATCCTTCCAAGAGGGCAGGTGCCTAGCACCATGAGTACCCACATGGGGTCCTCCAGGGAGGAAGGAGACGAATGTCTCTGTGAGATGCTCAGGAAATTGTCCCCACCCACCAAGCTGGCTGACTGCTGGCTGTGGGGTCCCCACACACCTCTCCACAGACTCTGTCGGTCTTCGTGAGATGGCTACTCCTCAGGGCCCTCGCCGTCAGATCCCTGAGATGATGAGAAAATCTGGTGTTAGGAACAGTTCCGATTATTTGCAAGCCATTGCCGATGGTACTCAAACTCAGGTCTTCTGACCTTCAGACCAGAGATCTCTGCAGACACCCACAAATATTTCCAAGGGCAGGGTCTGCTTTGGGTACAAGGGACCAGCCGTGAACCAAACGGACTTCCACAGAGCCTCTTCAGGCGGGGCCACGGGGGCCACTTGTCCCATCTGCATATTTTGCATCTGACCTGGAGAGGAGGCCCTGGGCTCCAATAAAAAGCTTTTCTCCCACGTCTGGTATGTCAGGGGTTCACCTCCCAGCCCCAGAGACAGAGGGGCTCTTCTGCAGCCAGCCTTATCAAGTGTCACCGTCCCCACGCCATCTCGGGAGCAGCCCCGCCACTTGAGCCAACTGGCACCATGGCTGTCTGTCAGAATCCCCCCGAGCCCCCACCTACCGCCCCCACATATTGGTGTGGACAAGTACTGGCCAGCCTCTCAGACATCGCCACAGCAACCGCGTGCCTCAGACAATACACAAAAGCGGGCGGCATGTTTCGGAGCGAGTTGTCATGTTTGTTACCAGATTGCTGTTCACACCATAAGCGTCCTATTCCTTCGGTTTAGGAAGGGTGAGCACTATCCCAGATCTCCCAAGACCCTGCAGTGCCGTGGGGGGATGAAGTTGAGAACTGGACCAGGAACTCGAGGCCTCGGTTTGACCCCTGGCTCTCCTGCTCTCTAACTGTGTGATCTTGAGTCAGATACTCAGTGTCTCTGGGCACTGGGAGAGGAATCTGTATCTTCCAGGATGGTGGCAAAGCAGATTCCTAAGGCTCATCATGGGCACTAAGTGACCGTGCTGAAGGCTTCTGACTTTCCCTCCTCCCCACTCCCCGCAAGCATTGTCCCCGCTCCTGTGCACCCGGGACACATCACACTGGCATCTGGTTATCTGCGGACCCCTCTGCCTCCACAGCCCGAGCACCTGGCTGGGCGGTCAGTTTGCAGCAAGCCCTTGACACCCGTTCAAGTCCGTTCTTCTGAAACACGGGCTCTGACAGCACCACTTCCCAGCTACCTGAGACAAATGAGTTTGTCATGTAAGACAAGCACCAAAAGATGGCACAGCCTTACCTAGAAATCACTCATTTACGTGTCAGGAGGAAAGGCACCAGGCATGTTCGCTCTGATCCCCGGCTCCAGACAGCGACAGGAAATGCACGTTCAAACCTTGAGTAGATTAAAAAGTCTTAACACGTGAGGGGGAGGACACGGAGGAACTCCTCAAAGTCCGGAGCCTTCCAAAGTTCAAAGCCCAGCCATCAGCCCGAAAGGCCTCCCTGAGGACTAGTTGATCTGTTAGAGGCTCGCTCCTATTTGCTCCATCAGGCTCCCCAGCCTCCCGCGGCCAGTGTGCAGAGACACGGCGGGAAGGAGCCGCAGTGGGCAGCTCGTTCACGAGTCACTCGCTTTTAGAGGTGAAGAAACTGTTGCCCCGAACATTTAAGTGACTGAAGGCAGGAAGTGGAGAACTGCACACACATGCACACGCGCAAACACACATGCACACGTGCACACACACACGCGCGCGCGCACACACACACACATACACACTCCACCCGCGCCTAACGACAGGTGGAATGGACCTTTCAGCTCAGGCACTCACATACTGAAGACACCTGTTTGTCTCTATATTCATGTTCCCCGAAAGTCCAGTCCCTCCCCTCGCTGTTGGGTGGACTGAAACCCCCGCCCTCTAGCAGACTCATCGGGTCAACAGGAAGGGAGCCCTCGCGGTTCTTAGAACCTCCGATGGGAACCACAGTATTGCGCACACGCCCCCTCGTGGCCAAACGTGGAAGTACACACCCTCACAAGTTCACGCTGAGTCAGGTTATCTCCCCGCTTGGGTCGGACTTGGAAGCCGCCAAAAGGGAATCACGAGCAGGATTTAACTCCTTCCCAGGAGAGAGGAGAGTGAAGCATCTTCTTCAGTGAAAGACTGAAACATGGAAGGTAAAGAAAAAGAGGAAAAGGAAGGGGAAATAGGAGGGAGGGAGAAGAACTCAGGAGTAGAAGGAAGAGAAAGGAAGAACACAGAGTAGGAGGTGAGCACGAGGCAAAGGAAGGTTATGGAAGGGATGTTCCTCTATGCTGAGCCTCTGCCTGTTTCAAGGATAAGCACGCTAGGTAACGGAAAATAACAAGAATTGCCGTGTCCAGGGTTGGCGTGTCACAACCAGTCAGGTGTGTACGGATGAGCAGGTCACCCCTTGATTGACCCCGTCACTGTCTGGCTCAGCAATCTTTCCAAAACCCTACGCTTTCTCTGTCTCTATCTCTGAGATTGTAAAGGAGTAGCTACTAGTTGTTGTTTTCATCCTCTTTTATTGAGATCTGATGAGAACAATAAAGATTTGCAGAGAAAACCCCGAAAAGTGCTCTGAG